GACTTCCGGTCGTCGCGAGTACTATGTGTAATAACGTATCTGCAGGTAAGCGAGAACCTGTTATGATGAATATCACAATTATGACAGCAAATGACCCCGGTGTGCTGCTGCTTTCGTATGCTCGTGCCCGCTTATTTCTTCCTGCCTCCACTTAGTTACTACTGATGAAGAACTAGCGGCTACTAGCGCGACAGATATTCACGTGGGTTCTACTGATTCCAGCTGCCAGGTTATAGCTCACCATTTGCCCTCTGCTAATGTCAAGATCAGTCAAACAGCGAAAACGTGCCAGCGCCTAGAAGACAACAAAGTACTTAGCATGCCCTAGCATAATCACGAGGTACGAACAATGTCACATCTCCACTCGTCTCCCTCAGAAGGCCCATCAACCAAAGTCAATGTTTACACGGAAGACGCGGTTGACGTCAACAGTTCGTCCTTGCTCAACCTGCCTTACCACACTCGTTCGCACATACCCTCTTTTCCAAAACGAACCACGTGAGAGGTTCGACCCCGGTCGATCTCCTATCCCTAACAGTCTCAGCATAGTCGCAGAAAGCAACGTAGACTACACGCAAAAGCTAGACACGCGCAGCACACCCGCTTTTGTCATCCTTGAGTCAATAAGTGGGTAGAGAAAGGTAAGTGCTCAGAGAGCGACAATATATTCGCCGATGTCTAATAAAGGCGCATTTGATGGGAATAACCATCGCCAAGAAGGCAAATGCTGACCGCTATGGACTCAGCCAAAAACTCTCGGGCAAGCGAGTAAGTCACCCACATCCCTGCTTTGCCTCGCTGCCCTCGTGGGCTGACCTCCGACCCAGTTTCTATGCACTCTGCAGCGCGTCTGCTCCACGTTCTATCTCTCTCTTGCAGCCAACAGGAACCGCGGCCCCGTAGACCTCTACTTGTCGTACCCACCTCTATCCCAGCCATGCCATCAACGAGGGGGGAGTCTGTCGCCTAAACTCAACGCCAGTACCCACACACCTGAATCGTTCTCCCTCTCGCTCCTGATCATCCTCGACCTTTTCTCGCGACCCCCTTTTGCGTCTCTTGGTCCTGACGTCGTCGAGAGCTGGCCTCTGGGCCTTTCTCGACTGGCGCTGCGAGTGGGTGGTCTCGGCGCCACTGGTCCCACCCGTGCCAGGATTGGGTGGCCTCCGCGTCACTCATCTCAAACTCCCCCTCAGAGTCCTGGTCAAGACGCTGCTGCTCTCTCTCCGTGGTCCCATTAGACGAGTCGTCCTCGTGATAAGTGACCGTCACCCGCATAGCCGCAATCACTCCGTTTCGTCTGCACCTTCGCTCAGCTCTATAGCGGGCTTCCGTGATAGCTGCTTGCAGCTCCTCATTTTTTCTCATCTACTGCTCCTGGCGGCCACAGACGTTAATCTTCAACCTCACTTCCCCCGTATGCCTCCCGTAGAACAGAATGGCCTCAACCACCGCACCCTTCTCATCCTCACGGTCCCAGGTCCAAGAGTACCTCATGTACCTTGGCCTGTAACCACGCAGGCCATAGCCACCTTCCCAGTAATAGCCAGCACCCGAGACCACAGCGATTGTCCGCTTGTCCCCAGTACACCTTGGACGCGGCTATCCAGACTACTGGATTTTCGCTAGTCTAGCCAATCGTAAAATTCACAGCCACGCTTCCCCCTTATATGATCACGGTACGCCATGCACCCTGCGCTCTAAACGAGACACCTAGGGGCATTTCCACATTAACAAGGAAACTAACAAAAAGGAATCGAACTGCATCAGAGTAATACCTCAGTCTTAAAATAGCAAGGAAAACCCAACAATCACTTAAAATGGTCATTGTCCGGTCTTTTCAATCCACCTTGCAGAGAGGTGGACCCAGTACACAGTGGTCCCATAACGGGATACCGACTGTAGCACTCCCTCCCTCAAAAGAGGCCATCGAACCACCCTTTATGAGTACCCGCATCCGATGGCAAGGAGGGGGCTTATGACCCTTCACGTGCGGGTGATAAGCTTCCTACCGACGTGGCCGCGGGTGCTCCCTTTTGACGCTCTGCAACCTCCAGCCGGCCACGTTCACTAGGACTAAGACATGACGGGTTGGTCGGTATAGACCACACACACGGCTTCTAATTAGAAATGGCCCGTGCACTCCCCTCAAAGTGACAAGAGGGAACCGACACTTCAAGGGAGTCGGATAAAAAGGGAGAAAATGAAAAATCCCTAGCGTCACGACATTAAGATCTATCCGACCCGAATTTGCCTACAAGCATGATAGAGGGCCTATGTTTCCCACCTTTCTTCTTCCCCCTTTTAGCTTCCTCTTCTTTGCTTTCAAATTCAGCAACCTCAACATCTAATGCGCAACAGAAAGAACCACGCCGATCTGTCTAAGACCTAGCACACCGCGAGAGTTCGCGAACATACACAGCGCACAGCGGGGCGAGCAAGCATTCGACACACAACAAACGTATGCAAGCAGGTACTTGGTAAGCAGCGAAGGTACGTGAGCTGGCATTTGGTACGCAGCGGAGGGCCAGGACACTACGCCCTCCGACAACGAGTCAACCAACGGTCAACCTTATGGCTACAATAGGAAAAGTGTATCAACTACTTTGTCGGTTTGGTGTCGTAGCGCCGAGATCCAAAATGATGTCGCTATCCTCTTGAAAACCCTCCATGGAGGGTGGGTCTTGCGATCGTTGCCCGAGAAAGTCGTCGCGTTCCGCCGAAACGAAAAGAGCCAACTTTGAACAATGAAAGACCAGGTGGACGAGCAAGTGGGCGGGCACCTGAATGACAAATGAAGGTCCTTCGAGTGCATCAGCAGCGGGTGCAAAATTTCTGAAGGAGCTTGCGAGACATATCTTATTCGAGGCTGGATTCCACGGCGAAGACCCAAACAAGTTTTCCTGAGCGGAACGGACAAGAAAGACACTGGCAATCGACCTGATGGCTCATGCGTTGCTGCGTCTTCGACATCTGGTCGAGTGCCTTGACAAGGAGCTCTTGCATCCGTTGAATGAAGACAAGGTGGTCGTTGCTCTCGGTCGTCCGTGAGATGATGGTGTCCACCGGTGATATGACCGGTGAGCCATGCTCAAACTCAAAGGGCAACATCCCGATAGCCGAATGAATGGCCGACGTCCGACAACCGCTCAACCCAATCCTTTTGGTCAGGACGGATGAGAGTGTGAAAAAGAACCTGTGCGGTTTGATGCACCCTCTCCGTCTGCCCATCAGTTTGTGGGTGGTGAGTCGAACTCGGCTTGAGAGATGAGCCCCATTGTGTGATGAGAGCCGACCAAAAGTCGATCATGAACCGAGTGTCACTGTCGCAAACGATCTCCTTGGGGTAACCCTTGGTACGAATCCAACGAGCATGAAGAACCTCAGCCAACTCCTATGCCTTGGCGTTATAGCGACAAGGCAAGAACATGACGAACTTGGTGAGTCGATCGACCTCTGTGAGAATCCCATCCATACCGGTCTTATGCTTGGGAAACGACCCGGTGATATCTATGGCAATCGATTCCCGTCGTCCTAAAGCGACCGGTAATGGTCGCAACTCGTCAAACGGACGATGATTGCAGGATTTGCAACGTCGGCAAACCTCGCATGACTCGCAATAGAGTGTGACATCGTTGAGAAGATCGGGCCACCAAAAGCGCTCGCGCAGTCTGTCAATCGTACGATTGACTCCAAAGTGTCCGGTGGCGGGAGCGTCGTGGAACTCGCCGAGAAGCTGCGTACGCAAGTGTGGATCACTTGGCACGCAAAGAAGATCCTTCCGCTGTGAGTGGACTAGCAAATAGTCTATTGGATCCGATAATGCGATGGCGCCAGATTAGAAACAATTCTCGTACTTGTGGCGAAAATCGGGGTCAGCTTGGAAGCCGCGGATGAAGTTGTCCCGCAAGTCGCCGTCAATCTCGAACGTCGAGTAGCCGCGGTACAAAGGTCCAGGCGCGGTGAAATGTGCCCGCAAAACGGTTCGACTTTATCGGGATGTGATCGAGAAAGAAGTCAAACTGGTCGATGAAATCCAAGAAATTAGTTCAAGAAGTACTAAAAACGGTGCTAGTGGCAAAGGTACGCCTTGAGGTAATAAAAACCTCCAAAAATGAAATCCATGAGTTTGAAATCCCACTATAGTAATCCCAATAAAAAGAGATAATGAAAGACCAAAGGTGACCACAAAACGACTTGTCACTATAAAAATATAAGGAATCATGCCAATAAGATTACAAAATAACAAAAAAGTAAAAGTAACAAAGACGAAAGGAAAATATCGTTGTTCAACTATTGGTACACCACTTGTTTGTTCATTGACTAAGTTTAGAACGAATTCATAAATCATTTCAACAAATAAAAGGACTAGCGCCTACAATCACCTATCTGAAATCAAACAGATTCTCAAACTACAACTAACGCTCCTTTGTATAATTTGTTTGGTTCGCCACCTCTGCTGCGGCATCCTCCACATCCGTTCCGGTCGCGTCCTCCACCCCCTCTTCCCCCAACATGACCGCATCCTCCATCATCATGTCTGACATCCACACCGCTTCGGTCGATAGCATCACCCGCAACCTCGCAAGCGAACAACCACCAGCAAACACCGCCACCTCCGACCTCTCTGCCATCCTCCACATACTCGACACCTTCCAAACCTCCGTCACCGCCTCTCTCGACAACACCCCCCCGCCAACCTCCTCCACTCCTACCACCTCTACCACCACATCCACCAACCCTTCCTCTTCAACCCTTCCCCCCCCCCTCATCATCCACCACCGTTGCATTCCCCCCACCTCCTCCCTCATCCGACGCATCCAACACACCGCCTCATTCCTCGCCCATCCACGTCACCCCTCTTCCCCATCCGCACTCTCATACCCTTCCCCAACCCATCATGACGACCTCCACCAACCCCACCATCCGTCCCACCTATTCCCATGTCACCTCCGGGGTTTACCCCGCAATGCCACAACTCCCCCACAACTACCTCTTTGAGACAACAACCAACTTTACTACACCTGCTACGACACCACCCCCAATAACCTCAAACTTCAACACCCTCGCCCGGATCATTCCCCGCGACGGGAAAATCCCCCGTTCCTTCCGATCCATCAACATCATGTCCTCCGGCCGCCCCCACGAGGACGTTTTCCTCTTCCTAACCCAGCTCCAGAACTCTTTTCACCTCCACCATATGCCCCTTGCCCACTGGCTCCCCATTGCCACCTCCCGCCTCCTCAACAATGCCGCCAAATGGTGGATGGCTGAAGTCCGCAACCGTCGAGCCTCCGGAGGACCATGTCATTCCTTCCTCCAATGGGCCAACCTTCTCACTGCCACCTTTCGCCCCCAGAAAACCATCGATGACTACCTCGAACAATTCTGTCACCTCCACCACACCGGTCCCACAGGCCGCTTCGTCCAATACATCCGCTCCCTCCACCATCACCTCCCCACCACCGTCATTCCCGACTTTGCGTTCATCTCCCGCATCAAACGAGTATGCCACAAAGACCTTGCAACAACCCTCGCCCACGAACCCGACATGCCCCTTGTTGACCTCCTCTCTCGCATGCTTCACCACGATCGACTCCTCCACCCCCATCACCAGTCCTCGCCCACTCCCTCCCGCCCCCGCTTTTTCCATAACGACACCACTCCACCCACCTCTGATGACGTCTTCGACACTGCCTCTCTCGACCCCTCCCAATTCACCATTGAGGACCTCCAGACCGCCCACCTTATGCAGACGGAACACCAAGATCGTGCCTCCCGACCGCCTTCTGCCTCTCCACCCCGTCGTCTCCAAAAACTCACACCCGCAGAACACATGTGCCTATAGGAACACAACAGGTGTTTAGCTGCCGCCAGTTAGGTCATCAACAAACCAACTGCCCCAACGCTAGCTGCTTTACTCGACCGGCCCCTCGCTCCACGGGACCCGGCCCTTCTACTCCCACTTCTTCCTCCACCGCGACAGTCGGGCCCTCCCCCACCTAAACATTGTCCCCCTGTCTCTTGCAATCCTCCCCAAGCATCAACCACTTGTCTGTCAGCTCTCCCATCGGTGACGATCTCTCCTCCACCGGTGGCTCACTTGTCATCGACTATCCGCCTGTCTAACCTCCCTCCGGTGACGCACATCCCATCGGATGACCCCCGGGCGACGCAGTCTACACCGCCTGCCCCCCTCCGGACGACGTTTGCTATCCCGTCGGGCGAGCATCCCGCTGGCACCTGCTCTTCTACTCTCAACCCTACGCACCTGTATAAACCCTGCTACAACCTCGCAACCCCGCTCTACACGCACCCTTGAACCCAGTCCACCCTCCCCTTGACCCTCATTCCTGATGTCTGATCTGCCCTTGCCCTCGCCTAGCCTTGTCCCATCTGTCCTCTCCACTACCTTGCCTCTCTTGTCCAATGGTTGTGAACCTGCGTGACGCCGGCGATAAAGGATCTAATGGCAAGCGCACGAGGACGATGGCCTGCTGCCTCACTGTTCATGGAGATTCTGCAGCTGGTTTGGCCACCATGCTGTTTCATCGGCCGGCTTCCCGACTGGCGGACTTACTAGAGCAGCCACTTGTGACATGGATCTTTGCATCAGTCTGCGACTTCCTTGGTTCCAGATCAGACCTCATTGCAGTTCGTGTACCGGACGCACCCTAGTACTTGGACTTTGACACTTGAACTGCTACTACGCTTCTTGGACTTCTACTTGTCGCAGCCGCTGAAGACCGCTTCTACTACCTACTCCAAAGACCTGATCAAGACCGCTGCAGACCCCCTCTCAAGACACTTGGACACTTTGTTCCTACATGAGATTCTGCTTCCTACTCCTTCGGACACTCTAGCCCTTGCATCCTGAACAAACATTTTCATTTTTATTTTTCCTGACTTTGACAACCCTGCAGAACATCATTACCAGATCCCTGTTTCCCTAACCATTGTTCCCCGAAGCCACTAGAACATCAATAGACATTCCCTGTTCCCCTGACCATTGTTTCCCTTACCCACTAGAACATCGATAGAAATACCCTGTTTTCCTGAACACCGTTTCCCTTACCCAGTAGAACATCAATAGAAGTTCCCTGTTCCCTGAACTCTGTTCCCCCTTAACCTATAGCAAACCATGCAGTCCCCTTAGTTCAACGGTAGGACTACCCTGCTCCCTGCCGTCCCTTTAGTTCATCAGTAGGACAACCCTGTTCACCGGTACCAAACCCTGTTCCCTCTTACTGCCGCAGCCCATGCCACCCACATTATACCCCTCTTCCCTTTCGACTTGTTAACCAGTGATTGGCCCCGTCCCGTCCTTCACAGATTTCAGCATTGCTTCATGATTTTTGGCAGCCGGGACGTTGCCTTCTAGAGGGAGGCACTCCGCCAGGGCTCGATCCCTGGTCTATCTTTTTGCTGTTTCGGCTGCATCCCGTTTTCGGCCTGGCACCCTTTTTCCAAACCCCTCCTTTGGTACCGTAAGATTTTGGACAACTGGCGCCATGCTGCAATTCGGGCGCCACTTTCAAATACCGCATTTTTCAGTTCTGCCCTTGGGGCCTCTGCAGAAATGCCCTGGTACCATACATGTCATTGGTACTTATACCGGCTCCCCGTACGGTACAGGGACCAGTCTCGCACCAGTTTCCAGCTGCTGTACTCGTACTCAGTGTGACTTGCTGTTTTGGCATTCGGGAATCCAAGACTTCGACTTTGTGTGCCCTCGCCACTATGTCTGCGTCCGACCCTCAGTCGTGTCGAGTGAGTGAGTGTGTGTGTGTGCTCTCACTCTCTCCCTCTCTCTCTCCTCTCCCTCGGCTCTCCCTCACTCTCGTGCTCGTTACAATAACAGGAACCAGCTCCGATACCAATGCAATCAGACTCGCTTTTCTTTCCACTTTACATACATGCAAACAGTTGGCGATTCACACTGGCCCAGGGCGCCCACTCAAAGCTCAGGGTTATGGAAGTTGAGAACACAGTTCAGATGCAAATTCACTTCAAACAGGCTATGGCGCATCGGCGCCCATCATCCCAACCTTCGTCAATGTGTCCAACCCCACTGCTCGCATACGCTCACTCTGGATCTCCCTGAATACACCCACACACACACACACTATAATCTACCTCTACCTTCGACGGCTATGGCCGCTCGCCTCTACCGCTGTGGCTACAATCTCGCTCCTAAGCCCACTTCGTCTTCGGGCAACCTGCAGACCACCTTTGCACAAGACGCTGTAGCAGCACTTCCGCATGGCTTACGCAGCGAACGAATGAATGACTGGGCGCTGCCTCTTGATTTATACTTCTGTAACTCGTTGGTCTGCCCCCTTTCCACCGGCCCCATGGTGCACAAAGTCCCTCATGGTACTTGCTGGACTGGGCTGCGACTGACTGGGACCGGTACCGCTAGCTGCACGGGATTGCACTGCCGACTCGATGCAATCGCACTGCCAACTCAGTGCCGTTGGGCTTTTTACCACTTGCCCACTTGCCTCTGGCTAAAAGTGAGACAACTTCGAAAGGCCACTTCCGGACCTTCCAGAAGTCTGCGGAGTTGGCCTTTCGAGTACTGTAGCAGCTACGACCTTGACCTTTCGGGACTGTAGCAGCTACGACCTCTACAGAGCTGTGACCCCTACTCAACAGACCTACAGATCGAACCCCTACAACTACACAGACCTACGACCGACAACAAACAACTACCAAAACACAGGTCACGGGTTCACTCGAGGGTCAACTCGATACCGTACATGGGCAAGGTAAGGTCTGGGGATCGAACTCTAGGGCCCGCATCTTTGACTGCAGAAAGGTGAAAACCGTTTCATTTCCCGAAATTCACAGTTAGCCAGAAATCGCGAACAGAAATTAATTAGGTTATTCTAATTAATCAATCAATAAATGAATCAATCAATGAATGAATGAATCAATCAATCAATCAATCAATCGATCAATCACTCACTCACTCACTCAATCAATCAATCGATCGGTCGATCCCTATTCGCGTGTCAGGGTCAGGTTTCGTCCTGATTCACTGAGCACGACTCCAATACCAACTGATACATCCTCATGAGTTTCTTTTTGAAGATTCTCGTTTAAAGGTTTCCTTTACGCGCTGCTAAAAGACCGATCACTGAAGGACCTAATACTATAATTAAAGCAAGAGTAGCAAGTTGTGCAATCACTTGTATGTTCATATATATTGACCTCTATGTATCAAATCAATATTGTCAAATAGCAAAACCAATAATGGTAATTCAAAATCATTCCCTTTCTTGTAATCGGCAAGATGTATATGGAGCCAAGGATCCGCAGAGTGATGAAAAGAACTCGAATGGACAATGCAGCGTCAGCAAAGCACCAACAAGCAATGTACATCCACATACATACGAAAATAGCATAATGTAGCACAACAGACGACTCAAAGATATGACCTGACCTGTCAGATACTGACGCGACACCCCATCATAAACCACACATGTGAGAGAGAGGGGAGGGACCACATACATGGAAGCAAGGTCCCTCCTTGAGCACGCACATGGGGAGATACCACGGATGAGGAGATGGGGGAGAGGCCAGACGAAGACGGAGGTGAGGGAGAAGACCAAGATCGTGATAGCGAAGTCCAAAAATAGTCTCCCTACCGAATGTCCAATCAATGTCTGCTACAAAACGTTGAATCAGATCGTGGGCCTCATGGCCCGACGTAATCTCTGCCTGTAACCTCTCTCTCTCTCTGAAAGAAGAAGACAAAGAAGGAAGGAGGAAGAAGAGATGGTGGGCGAGACTAAGAAGAAGAAGAGGATGCCGCCCTCCTCGCTGTCTCACCTGCAGGTAACTGCCGCCATGTACTAACTGCCGCCGGAATGTCTCTCTGTGCAGGTTGCTGGCATGGAGTCCAGCTATGGCGCCCAGGTAAGTACTGCCTCAGCAGGTATGTCATCCGCCTCACCTGCTACCTACGCCTCTACACCTTAGCGCAGCGCTGTGTCGCGCTGCTCCAGCAGCGTGTCGCCCAAGAAGTGAGCTACCCGAACTGTGTGTCTGCCCTGGCCTGGCCCAGTTATATGTAGCGCTGGGCCTCACTGGTGTGCCTCTGGTCCTTGGCCTGAAAAAGCCTGCCTGGGTCCGTACCGGACGTCCAGGCCCTCCCTGCTGATGCAGGGAGTGTCCGCTACCGGACAAACACGAACCTGGGCCCCGAAAGGGCCTGCCTGTGAACGAAGAAGGCCCAAAACGTGGCCTTTGTCCGAACAGACCGAAAGTCTGTTGGGACGAACTGCACGTCCGAAACGACACCTGAACGGACAACAATAGGACAGCAATTTGTCAGCAAATAAATAAATAAATGAATGCTGCCTCAAATCAAGTCCAGCGGCCCTTAGGTCGGCCGTTGGCCTCCAGGGCGCATACCTGAAGGGCGTGCGGCCTGGGGGCCCCCAGCAACCGTCAGGCCCCCAAAATGGGGCCGTTGTGCAGGCTCAGCATGTAACAAGTGCTTAGGCACGGGTGGAGGTCAGTGTCAACCCATAACTGTGACATTCGACGATTCCGAGCTGGACTTAGATAGGAGATTAGGTAGTGCGAGGCATACGAGAGAAGAATATGTGAGGCCACTGCCTCTATGAGCCCCAATCGGCCCCTTTTTGGGAGCCTGTCGGTCGCCCTAAGTGAAGGCAGGCTCGACGAAGCCCCTCAGGGCCTTATTTCGGCCTCTGCGCAACGAAGGAAATTCAGGCAGTTGCACAGCGCCAGTTGGTTGAGAAAACCCAGGCCCTGGGCCGCCTGTGTGAATGAATGGAAAGCAGGCCCTGGGCTGGATACGGGTACTGGGCCAAACACATGCCAAGGGCAGTTGGGTGCATGCAACCACCTCAGGCCCAGGCCTGTTCTCGAACGTGCTGGGCCTCAGGCTACCGGGGCCTACTGGAAGCTTCCTGGGACTGGACACAGGCAGGCCACTTCGATATAGCAAAGGGCCTGCCTCCTCATTCGGCATTCGGGTGCTGGCTGCATGCTGCACAAGCGCTGCTGCGCTATTTGCTGGCTGGCGCCTACGCGCTCACGGGCGAGCAGGGAAGGAGCAGGCAGCCATAGCCGAGCTGCGCTGCTGTAAGCTGGGTGTGGCGCAGGGTGGTCCTTGGGTGCAAGCGGCATCTGTGTGTTGGGGAACGAGGTTGTTAGTGTGGCGAGAGACATACCTGGTGCTGGAAGCGTGCGACATTGGTCGCTGTATGCTCGTACTTCGGGAAAG